CCCTGAATGCTGGGACTAAGGTAGGCACCCCCCATGCAGGTGGACACCAGCGGGCATACTGGCGTGTGTGTCCACAGGGCCCCTGACAGGGCGAAAGGCCAGCACTGCTCCTCTGAGCGCTGTGGGGGAATCACCCTGGGTGCAACAGAAACCCCCACACCCACCGCCCATACTATGCATATAAGAATGACCATCAGCTAGACACTCGTGCTAAAGAAATGACCAAGTCGGTTGGACTCTGGTGGACTTGGGGAGTGTCTGAATTTAATTCACAGTTTAGTTTCACCCTTTGATAGCAAGCCACATATCTTAACAGATTTCTATTCGATAAAAGAAAAAGTAAATCAATTCCGTGACTAGCTTAAATGTAGGTTTTTAAAAACACTATCTCCCCCAGCCCACCAGCATGCAACTCTGTGTGGCTTCCCCCAGTGAAGCAGTGTTTGGCTGTTGATAATTAGGGGTGGGGGATGATGGTTTAGGTATTTTCTTTCTGACATGAAACCTAGATAATGAGTTATTTGTCTCATTAGCTGTAGACGGTTTGGCTGGGTTGGGTCGAGTGGTTTAAGTTAAACTCCAACTTGCCTAAAATTCTAAAACTCGCCAGCCACTCAAATCGTATTTCTAAAAATCCTGTAAAGCCAGCGTGTGAGTTTATGCTCTACACCAGCCTTGCTGTGATGACCTGCAACTTTGAAAGAAAAGAAACTTCACGAGCTGCGAGGGAGGCGGATGTCTCCGGGTTCCCACAAAGGTCAAAGGGAAGACGGCAGATAGATTCTAGAATTTCTTCCACTATAGGTTTAAGTAATTGCAAGATCAGAGAGCGTGGCTAGGTATCCTCAGAACTCATGATCCCTGTCCATGTTTTTCCTCCTTGTTTTGGAGAGCTCGGCCGGCTCGAGCTGCAGATGCCACTCTTCAAAATCTTTTGCCAAACCGATGTCACTATTTGCCTCTGGATTATTTAGAACGCGTTGCTTTCTTCCAGATCACCGCAATTCCAAGGGGACATTTTCCTTACAGTAGAGGTGGCAGGGAAAATTTAAAAAAAAAAAAAAAACCTAATGATCTGTCTGACTCCCTAGCGTGACCTTGCACAGCCTGATCAGAGAAGGCCCCAGCGGACCCCACGGCCTGAGACTTTCCAGTGGACACAGTAGCGGGGCCTCCAGTGGACATGGGCCCAGCTTCCAGAGGGGGCCAAGCTTAAGGGGATCAGTAACAGCAGTGAAACAGATGAAAGTGCAGGAAAGGGGTTCCCAGGGCACAAGGTGGCTCCCCAAAACAGTCTGGCCCTCCGAGGCCCCGGAGACATCCCGAGGGAGGGTGGGCCACGACAGAGTGAGTTGGGCAGTGGGTTCACAAGTAGAGTCCTCCTTCAGATTCTCCGTTAGCAGCCTCTGCTTCCGGGAGAAGCCAGGTTAGGGATGGCACTTCTAGCTTCCAGGCCCCCAGCCGTGCCCACCCTACCGCATCTCCCCGCTCTCCCAGGCTAGCTCTGGGGCTCAGCCTCGGAAGGAGATCCTCTCCCGGAGGCCTGCACAGGAGGCGGTCGCCAGTGGGTGCCTCCCGCTTCATGCCCCCAGCACCCAGGGAGCTTTGGCTGAGACAAGCTGCTTCTGCTCCAGCTTGGGCAGTGAGCTGCCAGCAGCCCTGCTCTGCCCACCTTCACTGGCGCCAAACCCACCCAGCAGGCTCTCTGTGGCCCCAGAGTGCCTCTGGGGAGCTGGGAGCCCCATGAAGGTTTGGGGCAGGGACAGGAGCTGGGGCTGGAGCTCCATGGTGTGCACCCCACACCCCTTTGTGGGCCCTCCAGTGTTGCGTTTAACCCCTTCCTTCCTGGGGTTCCTGGGAGGAAGTCCCTGACCCCAGACCCCAGCATCTACACCCGGGACCCCAGGTTCACCCCCTGAGTCTGTAGGTTGTGCTTGGCTCCAAGGAGAGCATAGACCGATGCCTCGTCACCCTGCTGACCTGCTAGGCCCACCCCCAGCTCCTGGAGCCCTCCGTTTGGGCCTTTGTCTGCCGGCCGGGTCGTGGCGGCTGCACAAGGCGCCGACGCTGTTTCTCAGGCATTTCTCCCCGCTTGGCCCAACTCCCTTGTCGGCGCCCAAAAGCGCGCAGCAGCGCGGGCCCCCCCTCCCCGATTTTGTTGGGGTCGAGATTTCGGTGTCTCTGCAGACTCAGTGACAAGGACCCCGCGAGTGAATGCCGATCTCATTGCGTTCATTCTCTTAGTGTCCCCAGGCCCATCCAGAGGAGTGTGGGGAGCGAGGGGACAGGAGAGAAACCGGAAAAGTCACCCTCCTGCGGCCTCGTTTTAAAGGGAAACGGAAGGCGCGCTCCGCAGCCGGGCGCCCGGCGTCTCCGGGAGGGCTCTGCCCCCCTCGGCGGGGCGCGATGTTTTCTCTGACACCAGCGTCGACGCTACGAATCCCCCGGGTCGAGAAGCCCCTCCCCTCTCACCGCGAGCCCCGCTTTTGCGCAGACCCCCGGGAGCGTGCGGGCTGGTTCTCCGGACGCGGGCACTCTCCAGACCCCGGGGACGAGAAGGGCCGGGATCCGGGCCGGGGCCTCACTCCGTGTGGGGGAAACACCCTCGTCCGTGGACGGGTCGCCTGGCTGCGCAGCGAGGGGCACCCTGGGCGGAGCGGCGTGGCTCGCTGGGCGCAGGGCCGCGGGGCTGGGCCGCGGCATCCCCGGACCAAGAACAGGGACTTGGGAATGCGGGCGCCACGGCGCCCCACGAAAGCACAGCCGGGGCGGGGGCCCAGATCCGCCAGGAGGCCGCGGATGGGCCTCCGACACCTTTTAGAAGCTTCGGGGAATGGTCCGTTGAGATCTCCGCGTGTGTCAGACCGGACGGCCTCGGGCCCCGAGCGATCCGACTCTGCGCGGCTCCGGCCCGAGTTCCCGCCGCCCGCGCCCTGGCCGTTTGAATGGCGGCCACTCTCACGCAGCGCTCTTTCTCCGAATGGTTTTCACGTTTGGGGGGGCAGCTTTGGGAGGCCGGAGACCCTCCTCTGATTCCTCCTTTCCTCATTCCTTTCTCCCTCCCCTCCCCCTCCTGCCCCTCCCCCTCCCGTGCCCCCAGGTCAGTAACCCAGGAGGACCCCCTCCTCAGACCCACCCGAGGGTGCAGCCTAGAGACCCCCGTCCAGGTTTGCCTACACATGACGTGCTGCGTCAGAGTTCACGCTGCAGCCATGACTTTGGGTCTAGGCCGCAGGACAGAACACGGCCGACAGCCAGCGCCTTCAGCTCACTTACTGCTGAGGCCCTCAGAGGCAGGATGCCCCAGACGCTGGAAAGTATTTCTCCGGCGGCGCCTCTTTGGTTTTCATGGGATGGGTAAGAAATTAACCTCAGGGCTGTGCTGGAAGCTAACGCTGGGGCCTCGCTCCACCCATCCTTCCAGACGGCCGGAGTTATTGGACATTCCCTGGCCCGTGATGATGGCTCTCAGAGCTTCAGGAAATTGATCCCCCCAATCCCTAAAAGTGTCAATAGGGTGTTCCCACAAATCTCATCAGCCCCGTTTTCCTAGGGGCAGGCAGACTGTAGGGTTTCATATTTGGAGACCCAGGCAGACCCACGGCAGGTGTACGCCTAGTCAGATAATTTGGTGCTGACCCCTCTAATGTGGGGGGATGGGAGAGAGATAAGAGTCACCCCAAGTGAGAAGCAGCTTCCCCGCCTGCCTGAGTCTCACAAAGGACCCAGGAGCTTCTGCCTCCGGAGCCTACCCCCACCCTGTACCTACCTACCTTTGCCACCTCGGGTGGCCAGGTGACCTAGCCCTGCTCTTCCTTCCGCCTCTCCACGACACCCCTCCCCCCTTGGGTTTTCGGCCCACCGCAGCCCACACCCTGGGGCCTGCAGTGGGCGAACTGAGATGGAGTGGAGAGACAGGTGGGGACAGGACAGCTGAGCCAGGCAAAGATGAAGCTTTCAAGCCTCAGGGTGGCCTGCCGATCTTATCCCTTGGCTCCTGGCCTGGCAGCACCCCAGGGTTAGTCACAGGCCCAGAGTCTTCGGCTGCTGGGCACCCTACAGCCACCTGACCTCCTCTCCCCTCCCACCCCCCTTTCCACCCAGGACAGTTATGCCAAAGCTCCCGCACCCCCACAGTTGCCCTTTGGGAAGTTTTTTCAAAGTTTGCAAATTTCCATTAAAAATGCCTTTTACGTGATGGACAGGCACACCTGGGGTGACAACAGTGTTGGGGGTGTCTGCTGCTAGGGGCGAGGGGAGGAGAGCAAACAGGAGGGAGCTTAAGGGAGGAGGAGGAGGAGGAGGAGAGGAAACTGAAGTTCAAGTTGGATATTCTGACGGCCGCTGGAAAGGAAGTTTAGACAGGGCCAGAGAGAGGGGGGAGGGGAAATCGAATCGCTCCCTCCATCACTTGATTCCTAATTCCCCTAGTTTAAAGGATTTTAAGACAAAGGAAATGAGGCGAAAGCCCCGGTAGCCCCGGGATCGGTGACTGGCTGGGAAGGGGGGGTGGGGCGAGGGGAAGATGGGGGGCTGCTGCTCTTGGGCGCGGCCGCTCCCCACGGTTCCGAAGGTGTGGCTGAACTGTCGGCCGCCCTCCCCTTTCCAAACGAGAAGATTCAGTTACGACCCCCGTGCTCCTTTCTCTCTTGCCCCACTGGGAGCCCCAAATCGTGCCCGCTCTTTTTTTTTTCACGCATGTTTCATGAGGGTCGGTGTCCCCGTGGGATCCTGCGGTATGCACGCGCCGCCCTGCACACGCACACACATGCACACTTACAATAAGTGTCTACAGGAGGAGGGTCCCGCGCGCCAGCTCTGCGTTTAACACAGGAATCTGCCGGGTCACCCAAGTCAAATGTAAGTGACAACTTCCCGCTCCACCAGCAAGGAACGCGGACTACAAAAGTCTCTTTGTATCTCGGCAGCTCATTTAATATGATTTATGCATTTTTGTGCAAGGAATTGTGGGATTTTTCCCCACGGTAAACAATATGGAAATGTTAAAAATAGCAATCTTCCAGCGCGTGTCCACGTACGCACACCGGGGTGACCTGGCGGGGCTGTCGCGGTGGCGCCTCGGATCCCTGAAGCGAGAAGGGACGGCGAAAGCGCGGGCGAGCGCGGGGGACGCGGTCGCGGTCTCTCCGGGTTCGGTTCAGGCACCCGGAGCCCGAGGAC